TTAAACTTTAATTATTCATTTATATGGTTGAATTGAACCATACAAATTTGCCATTTATATGAGTCAAAAGTGGCTCAATATCAACAATTTGATATGGCTCCATTTAATCTGTCTTCCTAACCTTTTGAAATGGTAAAAGGAAAGCTAATAACATATGTTAAGTTTCTTAAACATATTTGTATGTATCATTTGCTACTTATACTTATTGGGGTATACTTACAGCTGTATTTTCTTCCCCAATGTAAAGATGTGGAGAGTGAGATCCAGGGAATTTAAATGCTTTGCCCAAGCCGGTTAGTTACAGATTTAAGTCTCCTAGCCCGATTTTCTATTAATTCTTTTCTCCATTACACTGAATGCTCTTGTTTTTTTTTTACAAGTAAATATTACAGAACTTGTTTGTCTACCTAATATTTTGCTTAGCATTGGTTTTTTGTTTTGTTTTGTTTTGAGATGGAATCTTGCTCTTTCACCCAGGCTGGAGTGCAGGGCACAGTCTCGGCTCACTGCAACCTCTGCCTCCTGGGTTCAAACAGTTCTCCTGACTCAGCCTCCCGACTAAGTGGATCTATAGGCGCCCGCCATCATGCCTGGCTAATTTTTGTTCTTTTAAAAAAGCTAAAGTATATATGGTTTTAGAATTAGGAAATTAGTAAATTAATAAACTCTATACCACCAGATTAAAGGGGAAAAAATCATACTACCCTGTTAGATACAGAAAAGCATGTGATAAAATTCAGCCTATTTGTGATAAAAACTATTGGCAAACAAAGCATAGATGCAAACTCCTTAACTTAAAAGGGATATCTAGAAAAATCCTCCTAGCCAGCATCGTACTTATTAGTGAAACATTGTGAGCATTCTCTTTAGATTTGGAGCAAGACAAGCTTACTGTCAACTCTTATAAAGTTGATCTTTAAATACAATGCAGTATTGGTAAAAATCCCAGCCAGTTTGTGTGTGGGGGTAGGGGGAAGGGGTGGATTATGACATGCTGATCATAAATATTTATATAGAAATCAGAGGGTCTGCTGGGCGCGGTGGCTCACCCCTGTAATTCCAGCACTTTGGAAGGCTGAGGCGGGCAAATCACTTGAGGTCAGGAGTTCAAGACCAGCCTGGGCCAACATGGTGAAACCTCATCTCTACTAAAAATACAAAAATTAGCTGAGCATGGTGGCACGTGCTTATAATCCCAGCTATTCAGAAGGCTGAGGCAGGAGGATCACTTGAACTCAGGAGGCGGAGGTTGCAGTAAGCCAAGATCAAGCCACTGAACTCCAGCCTGGGAGACAGAGTGAAACTCCATCTCAAAAAAAAAAGAAAGAAAAAAAAAAAAGAAAGAAATTAGAGGGTCCAGAAGAGCCCTGAGGCCGGGCCTAGTGGCTCACGCCTGTAATCCAAGCACTTTGGAGGCCAAGGCGGGCGGATCACCTGAGGTCAGGAGTTCAAGATCAGCCTGACCAACATGGCAA